CAACTACTACGTCTAATCCATGCCTTTAAGGTCACCAAATGGGAAAATCCAGAAGTTGTTGAACAAAGTATGATAGCTTTGAACTCAGGAGTTCTTCTCCCTGATCATGGCTATACTATTCTTGGGAGGAAACAGTTAAAATGAGTTCCAGCTAGAACCCGTGATAATGGTTATCACAGTTGAAACACATGCAATGCTACAGCATGAAGAAGACTATAAATTTGTGGTGGAACGTGCAAATCCCTTCTAACGTCATATAACTCGAAAACATGGTGTTGCTTTGTTTGTGACATTCCTCATTTCCAAATCACCAACAGCCTATGCAGAACAAGATCATTCTGTAGCAACAACACCGGCTCCAGCACCAAGTGAACCAAACCAATTTGCTAAGGAATTTTGCAGCAAAAGAAGTCATAAAGAAGGACGAGAATTTTGCATGAGAGTTCTGGCGTCAAATCCCAGGAGTGCCTCGGCAAAAACTTATGTTGTTCTCATACGTATTTCGATTGATATAGCAGTGACATATGCAAACATTACCAAAGAATACATGACATCTTTGTTGAATAGTCATGCAACAGAGGGAGAATTTCTGGAGGCTCTCAAACAGTGCATTTCTGACTATGATACGGGCATAGGTGACTTGCTCATGATAACTACAGATATGAGTTTTTACCCTCCACTGGCAAGTTATGAGGCTTTTCTGGCTTCTGACCACTGCAAAGGGTATTTATTTATAGGTGTCTTGATAATTTTGCATAAACATTTAAAATTTAATAGTGTATATGCACATACTTACATGTGTATGGTCCGGGAAAGAGGGTGTAAGTGGAGTTTCTGGACAAGCACGCGAGCAGAGTATCACTAAGTTCAAGCGTGGCTCATTATCCTTAAACCAGCATTCTCGACCAGCTCTAATAAGCATCTAACGGGTTTTAGACTCTAACCAAGCTACTTGTTCGTTTATTAAATCCCACCCTTTCCATACTAAAAAAATTAATAAAAATTCCGATGCACAATATCTTTATTGAACTTCCGAGACTCTTAGAGATCAAATGCATGTCCTGTGGTGATCTGATCACACCTTTTTTGACACAAGACACAACCAACATGGTTAAACTACTTCAAATAGATTGATCTAGCACTAATCCCACCATCAACAGCTAAATCATGTGCACTTATGTAGGCAGATTCATCTGAGGCAAGAAATAGAGCAGCCTCAGCAACATGTTTGCCGTTCAGGGATTCTCCCTTGAGGTTAACTCGGTAACTTAGAAATCTATGAATCTGTTCTGGAGCCAATCTCGAAGAACTAGACACCATTGGCATGGCAATACACGCAGGAGAGATGCAATTAACTCTTATTCCATACTCTCCTAGCTCAACTGCAGCAGCTTTAACAAGACCTATTACAGATGCTTAGAAGCCATATATGCAGCTGGACCTCCTGTAGATAGTGTAGCTTCAATACTCGCAGTTCACATAATCGAGCCGCGAATTTTTCCAGCCACCATGGCCTTAGCCGCATGCTTAATAGCAAGGGCAGAACAACGAACATTTACTGCCATGGTTTCGTTGAAATCTTTAGCATCTATGGCTAGAATACTGCCTTTAAGACCAAGGCCCCCGGCAATGCTAAACATGATGTCAAGACTGCCATATTTCTGGATAGCATATGCTACGGTTTCCTCTACTTCTTTTTCGTTCTTCACATTGCAATGCTTGTACGTGGCTTTGTCATGAACTGATGGATTCCACGACCTGATGGCCGGGATCATCTTGAATGTCGGCAACCACCACAAAGTCTCCATGCTCCACGAATATTCTTGCTGTTGCTTCACCTATGCCACTGGCTGCCCCGGTGATTATTGCCATCTTTCTCTCTAACAGTCTAACCTGGAAATGTTTTCAACAAAAACTTCATAATGCGAAATAATTAAGTATTCCAGTGGCGTGAAATTAATTGCTTACTTCAGTTGAGTAAAGAGGTTAAGATAGAAAGTAACCTTCGGTTAGCCATCGATCAAGATTCGACAAAACTGTGCAAGAAGGAGATACAACATTTATAGGCAAAAAGTGTTTGTTGGGTAAGGACCAAATTGATATCCAAAGTTTTAACGGAAATGCATTTGATCCTTTAAGTGCGCAATCTTGATAAATTTTGGACATTTTATGTTAAAATGTCAAAAATTTATCAAACAAATGCTTGCAAAGTTTGTTTGCAAAAGAATCTCGCATTTGAGGAGGTTAATCCAGCTTGGTAGTTTTTTAATTTATTATATTGATTGATGGAAGTGATATTAGGGTGATACATATAAATACGCTTTTTACAAGATTACAACAAGCCAATATGGTGGAAGTAATATAAACAGATTAAAGCTTAATTAACAACAAATCAAGACGCAAACAACGGGACTATATATTACCGGTATGCTTAATTATACTATTATGTTATTATGGCTAAAGCCAAAAGTTTTTTAACACTACAAAGATTCCAATCCACATGTTGTAATTTAGATTATGTGACATCCGAAAAGAAAAAGAGAGGATTTAACTAAAAACCGTATAATGAAGAGGTTCAGCTATTTGGATAGAGTATTATTTAAAATATTATCTGGAATAATTGCTGTAGCACTTTTCCTGATATGATGTATGTGAGATAAAAAGATAGTTGGAAATATAAAAATGTGGGTTGAGAAATGTGTTTATAATGCAAGCGAAATATTATTTTGGATAATTTCACTATCCAAACAAACAGCACCGACTTCACTCTGGGGAATGAAATTTAATTATTCTTGAATTTCTTTTCTCTCCGACCATAAGACTTTGAATTCTGAAAGGAGGAATATTCATAGCCATGCAAAACCTCAACTAAATTCGAAAAGAAAACCCCATTCAGAATCTAAACTCAAATCTATAATAAGAATGCATCATATTTTGGGGAGGAGGAGGATAACTGGCTTGAAATGGTAGCCGTTGATGAGCCGACTTACCTAATTAATTCAGTTCAATCTAATCTAATTTTTAATACTTTTGACATTAAGGTAATTTCAGTATTCTCCAACTTAAGCTTGAAAAATCCCTTTCTACATGGGTGCTCGATATTGTGCTTGTCGTCAAGCTAAACATGGTTGATTATAAAACATTACGGCTTATATATACGTTTTAAAATTATAGTGTCTAGGCATGGGTTTTGTTTTAAAAAATAGTAAATCTTTTATACACTGACAGTGTATACACTAGCGAGTCTAAATGCATACCACATGCACAAAATTTAATGTTCAATTTCAAATTCAGATAATGTGACATTCATCCAATCCTATCAGTATAGAAAAGATTAATACTTAAAAAAGAGTAAAATTTTTATACACTAGTGTATACACTAGATAGTCTATATACATGCTACATATACAAAATTTGACACTCTTTTCCACTTTTACAACTACAAATAAAACTTCCAAAACAACGAATAACTTTCTCTCTTTTCGAAAGAATAAAAGATATACTCCTATTATTTTTAATGTGCATATATATACACAGTCTGTGCCTTTCTCACTATATATATAAAATGTGAGCAAGGGTTGATGTTCAAAAAATATGTCATCCTTTTGAATTATCATCTTAGCCTTATTGTTAAGGGCAAAATGATGACAATATAATTACAATTAAAAAAACTTAACACTGCAATTTCCTCTTCCTATATCAATACAGTTACTTTGATTCGATTTGTCCATGTTTATCTCATGGTATTTGAAAGACATGAAGACTACAGTATACCTACTGCTGCACTTCTTTCTTCACCATCGGTAAAAAATCACGATTTTTGTATCCAAAAGATAGGAGTGATCGTAGCCTTTTAAACATTTGAAGATTAGTTGGATTCTCCTAAGCATTCTTCTAATTTCTTTTAGGTTCGTTGTATTCTTCTCATTTTTTTTATTGTGATCTCGATTAGTATTGAATACAATTTACTTGAATAATCTGTACTTTCTTTTATAAATTTTCCCTAGCTATAAATTAGTAAGATATTTAGTTATCTTTTTCCTCTCCTACCAAAGAATTTATTTATAACTCATTCACATTTCATCTCTTTGCGCATTTTTCCCCTTTTATGTTTACATATTGTACATGTGTTTATGTTTCTTAGTGTATCATATGTTTTACAAAGTGCACGCACATTGAGTGTGTCCCACACAGACACTGGTATATACAAAGGATTAATTGTAATTCTCCATTTGCCCTCTTGATTACTTGAATTCATTACTTTTTAATTACATGTGAAGTGTCTTATCAATTAGCTCATGTTTCGTTGTTCAAAAACAACTTATTAAAACCTCATTTTGTTTATTATAAGGTCTTCTGTATGGTCATCAGAATTTAAGAAACAAAATAAAAAAAACTAGTCGAGCTGATAAATCTATTGCAAGTCATTTTAAGTTAATTTTTATATGCTTTTTCAATTGATTCCCTAAAAATGAAAAAGCTGCTCATATCTTTTTTTTTTTATGCATTTGAGCTAATATAATGTGTCTTTTATCAGCACCTCATGCCGTTCTCGTTGTCCTTTTTCCTATCATCACAACCATTTATTATGATCAGAGCATGTGAATGAAAAAAAAATTAAGAAGAAACATCTTCTTCTCCCTCCGTATTAAGTCTAGTAAAACATTATTTTTGTTCAAGGGGATTTTCAGCAGCATTATATATATGAATTTTTAAGATCACTATTTGTCCATATCTCCCTTTTGATTATTTTTTTTAAGCAAGTTATTTAAAAAAAAACTTTACATGATGTTAAGTAACAATAACGATTTAGTTAACAACTGAACAATTTTCCATCCTCACACCGAAATTTTGTTGTCAAAATTTTAGTTTTTGATGCCTATTATCAAATTTTCAATTGAATATTCGTTAAAAATGTTTATGTAAATGATTTATTTTATTAGCTGCGCTTGCTTATCAGTACTATCTATAATGGATTTGCCAATGTTGATGACTCAACCAAGGGGCGGGCGGCTGTGTGGTAAGACACTTCGGTAGGAGTATTTAAGGTCGAGGCCTCGAATCTAACGACAGTCTCTGCTTTCCGATATTCGGGTGCCAGGCGAAATCCGCATTCCTTAGGCTACGTCAGCTCCACCGGGCTCTCCTGCACAGTGTCCATCTCCGCCATGAACAGTGAAAGCCAACCGCGTAAGATCATGCTTAAGATTCGAACCTTGCATTTTGTACTAAAGATTCACTTCTGGAGTCTTTAATAAAACATTTCTTCAAGAAGGTACAAAACAATGAATAAATAAGGATGATCAAAACAATTCAAAGGGTCGAGGTTGAAAAAAAGTGTTCTGCTGAATACAGTAAAAGATTTCTTAGTTTACTTTGGTTTCACCCCTGAAAATCATTATCATGCGTTGATGTTTTTACTTAGGCTTCTTCAAATTAAAGATGATCAAAACAATTCAAAGAGTTGAGGTTGAAAATAAGTGTTCTGCTGAATACAGTAAAAGATTTCTTAGTTTACTTTGGTTTCACCCCTAAATATCATTACCATGCATTGATGTTTTTACTTAGGTTTCTTCAAATTGGTTGTTTTCCCATCAATTTTTAAGTTCAAGAACTGGGAATTTCAAATGGGTTCAAGCAGATTAGTTCTTTAAACAGTGCCTTTGAATTATGTAGTTGGACTAGGACTTAAAGCGTTCCTTTATTGGTTGTTCTTTTTCTTCTCCAGCCGTCTTTTGGGCGGAGGCTTTTGTGTTTAGGGACGGTTATTTTGGGAGTTGGGAAGGATAAAGTGGAGGGAGCATAATTCAAATTCAGAATTACCTGGGGAATTTTGGTTAATTTTGATTGATACTTGTTTGGTTTCTAAAGCTCTTGAATTTTATTGTACTTGAAACTTAATTGCTCTGATGCGTTTTGGATATATGAATATTCAGGTGCCTCAGTTGATTAGTGACCGTTTCATCTCCTCAAGAAAATGGTATGGTGCCCGAACTGCGTCAGGGACTGTCGTGTAGACCGTGATCATGCTAGTGGATACATGTAAGTATATCTACTGCTTCCGTCAGTTATTTAGGCCAATTTGGCTTCTGAAATTGTAATTCCAGCAACTTGTAGTTATCTCAAGCTTTGCAATTCGTGAATGTTATCATTTGGTGCATTTCTTGCAGATGTTGTTCTGAATGCGGAAGAATACACTATCAAGATGTCTTCACAGATGAGCCCACATTCGTCAAGGGACCAGGAGGAGAGGTTTGCTTCTGTTCCATGTCACACTTGTGTGTGACCATTAAACTGAGAGAACATTGTATTTTCTAAAGGTTGCCTAAATAATCAAATTGAAAGGCAAATCCCGAAGAAAACGACTTAACAATTTTTATTTCATCATAACTTCTTTTGATGTTTTTGTGAGACGTTGTGGTTGTTAATTGCATTTTATGTCAATGCTGCTGATATAGTTTCTTTGGGTTTGGTGCAGAGCCGTTTGGCTGGCAGTTTTGTGAGGAGCATTCAAAGCGATTGTTCAGAATCATTTAAAAGAACATTAGAGAATGGTCTGTGCCTCTGTGTCCTAACTGCTGTTTCTTAAATATTATGGAACATATCTTGAGTTTGTCTTTGCCACCATATCTTGATGCTTTTTGCGTTTTTGTTTTCTTCAGTCTGGGTTGTATGTATTATGTCATCAAATTTCTTTTGTTGGACAAAGCTATGTATTCTCTTTGGTTGTATGAATGATCTGCATGCTCTTTTAATGCAGTAAAGGATTATTTTGTGTTATTTCAGCAGTCTTCACTTATCTGGTATCATTACTCTTTGCAGGAAGTAGGCAAATTAATGATTTGATGATAAAACTGGATATCCCTGACGAGTCTTTAGGTGCACAAGCAGCTTCATTTTATCGGGTTGGTTTTCGTATTCTTCCTTTTTCTTTTTGGTGATATTTCAATTTCCATCAGTTATTGGTACGCCTGAGATCTTGCAGATTGCAGTTGAGCGTAGTTTCACCAAAGGACGTAGAACTGCTCATGTTGCAGCAGCTTGCCTCTACATTGCTTGCAGGTCAGCTGCTCTCTTTTTCTTTCAGCAACAATTAGTCAGATATTTCTTAAAAATACCTTTGAAAAGTTAGTTTGAGTGATATTATGCCATTGACCTGATGAAGATAATTGGCATATATGCTGTGGTATTTGTTAGGAGAATATCAGTATTCTTGTAGATAATATTAGTAAGGGTATTCTTGTAAATAGTTGGTTAGGTTTGTACTTCTATAAATACTAGTTGGTCACTCATAATACGGGGACAAGATGTTTTTCTCCCAAGATACCTGTTGACATGGTATCAGAGCATGGGTAATAGACTTAGGAATGGATACCGAATCAAGGGAAGCAACAAAAGAAGAATATGACAGAGAGAGACGAGAATAAGAGACAAAATTAGAAATAGGATGAGAATAATCAGTATTCTTGTAACAGTATTAAAGCATCAACTTGCTAAAGCAATTGTGTCTAGCTCGGTTTTGGTAAATATTGATATTCTTGATACAGGTATTAACAGGCAAAGATTGAGTTGTGTATTTTTACAAGGCTTACCTTGAGATCCACTGACTTCATTATATGATGTAGTATCTTTTGCAGAAATCTAATCTGCTGTTTCTGGTTAGTTGTCTTAGCAGTAAATAAGGTTTCATTCTTATTGCAGGAGTGGTTGCAACTTTAGGTTCTCCCACATTTGCTATTTAGGTTTTTACTCATTCTGATAAGGTTTGACAGATTATTTGGGTTCCAATGAAAGAAATAATGGAAATTTGATAACAAGTAATCTGATTTCAACTAAGAGGTTTACTAGAAGATCTGTAGAGTATTTCATTAGTTAAGATTCCCTTCATAAATTAGTTCCAAGTTAACACCAAGTTAAATTTTCCCTCATCTTTGTCGCTAACAATAACCACTCAGCTCTTTTGTGACAACTTGCTGCCAACATAGCCATTCATAAACTCATGCTTTTTCCTCTTTGCCATTGTTATGTATATACAAGCAACTAAATACATGTAAAAGCTTTCTATGTCTGAGACTGGAGGGTGGACATATGGTTTCCTATAACCTTTGATATCTATCTATGAAAACTACTTGGCTATTCTAACGTAAATCAGGACAAGCAAAAGCAACTTTAAGCTATGTTGCAGTCACTTTACAGTGATGTGATACTTGTTTAGATGTCATAGTAACTATGATCACTAGTCAGCACGTCAACCAAACGTGTGTACAACTTATAAAATTGGAAGATAAATAGATTTGGTTTGAAACTACTTCAAGAAAATTTATTAATTACGGGAAAAAATGAATCCTCCAATGTCTATCTTTAAGTACATGGTTAGTTATTCTTAGTCACAATATTTATGGAGTCACAGAGTCAGCCTTACAAGTAGGGCTTATATTTTAAATAAAGAAATTAAAGAGGGAGGGACACCACAAATTAAGGGATGCTCTTACTTGATATACGGTATAAATATTCAAATGGCAGAAGGTTTGATTCATGTTGTTGCTAGGGATAATCCTAGTGGGCTGTGAAAGTAACAACTCGTGCAATTTGTGCCTGAATTATAATTTGTTTCTCTCCAGTGGAATTGGTAATTAATTTTTGCAGTTAATGAAGTTATTATTGCTAACATAATAGCTAAAATTCATTGTCTTAATTCATCTAAACTGTCCCTTTTACTGGTTATTAGATCCACAACCAATATTTTCAATTGTTTAATGCTGTAGTAGTTATTTGCATCTAAGATATTTCCTCCAATTAAATTGGGGTTTTACAGGTATATGTCCAAGATCTCATTTGTAGAAGCATTTTCACTTTCTTTTTCCTAATCTGTTTTCATGCTGTTCCAATATATCCTCCTGTTTTAACTTGTCTTTGAAAATTAATTGTAATGATGTACATAGTCACTCGCAGTTGAGATATATAAAGTATGGTGAACAACGTTTTCTTATGAGGGAGTTGTGCCCTTTTTGTTGGTTGATGCTATTAGTCCAATCTCTTTTGCCTTTGGACAATTTGGCAAACAAATTGCTAAAGCATGTTAACACGCTTGTCACCTGCTCTGCTATTGAAATTGGTTTGAATGATCTTCTATATGTCATCAGACGAGATTTAATGCTAAGAAGTGATAGATCAATTTATAACATATTAGCTCAAATGGGTATTTTGCAAGAACCATAAAGTAGCTCAACTTTTAGAAGAATTGTCAATGAATTGTCTTTTAAGGATAGGCTAAACTGTTCATAGTTGTCATGGGATTGGTCTTTAAAATGCAATCTAACTTTTCCCCGAAAATTTGAAATTCTTCTTTCCTTGAGTTATTACTCAGTTTTAGTATTATATAGGTGAAGAATTTGTCAACATTACATACATTCTTCTTTTTCTGTATCATTTTGATGATGAAATAAAAATGATACGAGGGAGGCTATTGAAGTACTTCAATACCCCTAGATCATTGCTTGAAAATATAATAGATTCAGTTTTGGGCTCATAGTCTAAAGACAAATATTAACTTCATGTATTTTGATGCCCTTGTATATGACCAAGTGTATGTTGCTGTGTATTTCCAGTATTTCTTTGTCTGACAGCTAATACCTCGTTATCTTTTTGTTTATTGTAGGGCCAATGACAAGCCATATTTACTTATTGATTTTTCCATTTGGTTGAGTGTAAATGTGTAAGAGAATTCCCATTATGATGTCATATTTACTTGTTTTCTTGGTTTAGATTCCCCTTCCAATTTTTTTTGATGAAATTTACTGCTTCATACATACATCTTTAGTGTCTTTAGTTGCCTGAAGACTTTTACGTTTGTGACTAACAACGGTAATTTATGTTATAGTTATGTGTTGGGAGCTGTCTATCTACAGCTTTGCAAAGTTTTGAACCTTGAAGAGCATCCATTTGTTCAGAAACCTATTGATCCTAGCCTTTTTATGCATCGATTTACAAGTGGTAAGGTTCCAGTGTCTTTTTGAAGTTTTAACCATATTATGCGTTCATGTTATGTTGGAGAAATTTCAATGCTGTTCTTAATCGTAATTTTGGTGGAAGTTGAGTTATTTAGCAATTATTCATCTACAAAAAATGGATTGTACATAGACAGGCAAAAAGTAGATCGTACATAGACTAGATTAGTTATAAGGTAATGTTGGTTGCAACGTACTTATTGTGGGCCTTGTTTCTGGTGTCTTTATTCATTAATTTCTCTCCAACTTCAATGCTTTCGAAAAACAAGATCCTGCATTTTTTTCCTCTTTCTGATTCATCATTCTTTTCCTTCCATACAAGAATTTACTCTATCTTTAAATCACGTGGCATTCTTGACAGAACTCAATGGCTTATCCATTTATAGGACCTGAATATGTTAAACTAGCGGAATTGAACCTTTCTTCTATGAGAATCAAATATAGTTAATATAAAGAGAGAGGAGATGTTTGTTAGATCTACAAGGGATTTTATCAAGGTTCTTATATGGTTTCACCTCATTGCTCATGGTCTGACCAACTTTAAGTACAATCATCAAGGATGCTAGTTACTCTTATTATTGTCATTTTTGTTTGCATGAATATATTTTTGAGGTCATTGGTGGGAAGACTCTCCTCAAACATGAGTTATTACTACAGTAGAAGTTCCAATCCAATTTACTTTTTGGTTAAATTGGAGAAATATTTGTTTCTTTGCAAGTTCAATGGTTGGTGCAGGTGCTTTGTTGCTCCCATTACAAACATTGCGTGATCCCTCCTCATAGTCACGTCTTATATTCTCGATCATTCAAGTCCTACAACATACATTGTTGAGATGGTTTAAAATAGTTAGTATCACCTTCCTTTTGTCATTGCATGCTATTAATATTTATATCTGCATTAGCTTTAATGAAAGGCGACTATAAAAATAAGGTTTGGAAGACAGCACTGCAAATAGTTGCCAGCATGAAGCGAGACTGGATGCAGGTTTGCTATCATTCTTTCATGCAGTTAACATATTCTTCTTTGTTGTGCGTTGGCTATTGTATGAGGTGTTGATGAATTATTAATTTGGTTTACATCCTTTACAGACAGGCAGAAAACCAAGTGGGATATGCGGTGCTGCATTGTACATCTCTGCACTTTCACATGGGTGTAGTTACTCAAAGTCAGAAATTGTAAGTGACATTGTGTTGCCATTTCTAAATATTTCTTTACCAGATTTAACCAAACACTCTTATATTCTTACTGGAGCTCACTTGAGTGACAATATCACAAATGATAATTGAAGAAATTGTTGTGAAGTAATATGCTATTCCTCCATCCCTATTGTTTTAAATTTTTTCATTTGATAAGAATTCTGGAAATGGATGTCCTGCAAACTACAAACTGAAGAAGTTAATTTGTCAGTGTGTTAGCATTGTTGCACAATTGTTTCAAGTTTATTGCTGATCATGTGTTAAATAGTGATGTTTCTGGAACATGGTAATAAGTTGTAAAGAAGCTTATACAGTTCCTTGGTGTAGACTCTGTCAGTAGGTTCGCTCATATTTCACCCCCCACCCCCGGCAACGCTCTCATTTTTGCCTGCTATGGTTGGATTTTGTCTATCATGCCTCGTAGATATATTCTGTACTCTATCCTCATGACCTTCTTTTTTATCTAAAATGATGCAATTTGAAGGGAAGTTATTTAGTGCTGAAAATAGAGATTCTTGCTCCAGATTCTTCTATTAATGTTCAAATCTAACTGATTTTTAAGGTAAAGCTGACTGAATTCATGCTTAAAAAAGGCGTAAAAAAAGTAACTAAAAAAGTGATTGAGATTCACATGCATTTGCATGAATTTCTAACTTATTTACCCTTCCACTGTTTTTAGGTGAAAATTGTTCATATATGTGAAGCAACACTGACCAAAAGGTTGGTTGAGTTTGAGAATACAAAATCTGGAAGCTTAACAGTAAGTTCCTGCTCTTCCAAGCATGATCTGCTAGCATCGAACCTTGTAGCTTATGTAACAACAGTAGGTTTCTTGTGACATAGCAGTTCATTTACATAGTGGCATTGAGATGGATCATTCTGTACTACTGCCACATCCAGAAAGTGTCTTAAGCAAAGGCATCAGGGATAATGTATTTACTGATCTTCTGTGACAGGCTCTTTTTGTTCCTTTTTTTTTTTCATTTTTTTTCCCTTCTCATGTCAACAGTTAGCCCTTTACTTATTCAGGTGGAAATTAGAAGTTGCTATTATCCAAGAATACATTATTGCCTTGTTAAAGTTATACTGGTATAATTTGGAAATACTACATGAGCCAGCATGAAGTTCCAGGATCTCACTTTGGTCCAAACCTCTTATGCTATTAGATTAGCACTTACAAGTGGTTTCATTAAAGAAATGTAAGCATTGCCTATTGTCTTTCTGAAGGTTTACAGTCACAGGCTACAATGGTTTAGTGTCGTCATTTGAGTATCTGGGATAAAATATATAGTTAATCATTTGGGATCTCTTCTAGGTTTGTTCTGATTAGGAAGGATGGTTTTATGGTCTTTGATTTTAATTTAGCAATGAGTTTTAGTCAAGCATCTGCAAAATGGTTTCGGCCCTTGAAATGATGGTTCTTTGTGTTGCAAAACTTGGTGCAAGGGAGCTATAAAGGAGATGCAGACGCTAATAGCATAATTTGTATTTTAGGTCATCTTGCTAACCCCTGCAGTCATGGGAATCGTGTATGTAAATTGAGGTATATTTTTAAATGGTTCTTGCTTTATCACAATCATGATTTATAATAACAGTTTTAAGACCAATCCAGACTATCTTATTCTTCACTTGCTTCCCTGTGCAACTTATTTGGAGTGTTTCTTTATCAATCGATCTTTTTTAATGACCTTGATGTTGGAAACTGTACTTCTATTTGGATGATGACAAAGATATGAATAAAATATGGGCTGTTAAGGATGTTTTTGGAAAAAATCAAGTCAAAAGGACATATTTGTTATGTGCTACGAGAATAGTGATGTTCGGAACAGTTGTTATTTCAAAAGGGCGAAAGGAATAATAAAAGGGTTAAGGTGCTTTTCTCATTGACAGGGAAGTGGCAGCAACTGCAAGAGTAAGATTCTAGGGCATCTCTTATTTTTTCTTCCCTTTTTCTTTTTTCCTACTTCTTCAACTACCTTGCTTATCATCTCTTATCAACATAAAAGGAAAGACACTGTCAATAAAAGGCATTAGCCATAAGGCGGTTGCATGCTGTCGCTTGTGGTTACGAAGGTCTGAAGCAAAGATAATGGATTTTGTCCTCAATCCTTGTTTCTATAACCTTTGTGCAATTAAAAGCCACTTTTAAAATCTTGGTACCATGAGACTCCTGGAGTTGTAGAGATTGTTCACTATATAAAGCAGAGTGGCTTGTTTCTCTTAAGGCTAATATAGAGGACTGTCTAAGATAGGCTAACTATGGAAATTTGTGGAGTGATGTTTTGGTTGTCTTTCCTTTTTAGTTTTGGAATAGTGGATGTTGTTTGTCGTTTATATTGGAGGTTTCTGAAAGAGATATTTGTGAGGTCTGAAATATGCATGGGAGATGGTGGAGAGCAGGTGGCATTAAAAGGACCTAAAACAGAGTTAGTCATAGCCCATGTTGAGCATAGGTTTAATCTTTTTTGGGTTTATTACTTTTGGATTTTGTCATGTTTGGCTGTTGCTTGAAGTTAGTTAAGATTGATGTTAAGAAATTATTGGATTGACTTGCAAAAATTTTCATGATATAAAAATGGAATTTGTCTTTACTGATGGAGGATTATGTAAAAGAGGAAAATTTATTTCACTCTCCTTTTCTTTGCCTCTTGTCTCTAGAATTTCCATTTGTGATCGGTTTTCTTAATATGTCTTGAGGTTCATACTTCCTCAACACAATCTCTTTGCAGATTGAGGAATTCAATCAGAATGCTGAAGAGTTTGAAAAGGAGAATCATTCATCCACATCACCAGATGTATACCTGCAGGAGTCTGGCAAAAAGGAAGTGCTTTGCCAACACAAAGGAAAAGAACCTCATTTTGCTCATGGGCTTTGCAGCAGCTGCTATAAAGATGTGAGTTCTATGCCTTTTTTCTTCCTTTCCTGTAACTTTTATTTTGAAGTGTGATTAATGCTCTTCTCATATGTTCCAGTTCATTGAACTCTCTGGAGGACTTGATGAAGGATGTGAACCTCCAGCGTTCCAGGTTGCTGAAAGGGATAGATTAGCCCGAGCATCTGCTGAGAAGGTTGGGAATCAAAAATTCTTGTGACCATTGGTGGTGATATGATAAGTGCTATAATAAAATGTGACTATGTAGTAAACGATTAGAGACACCATCTGAATGATACTATATGATAAATTTAATAGCTTAAGTAACAACTTTGAGCTATCTTGTTAAGTGTTTCCCTGATAATGAATAAATTTTCTCCCTTGGCACATTAAAGGTCATGAAATCACTTAAAGAGTCAATATCAACTGTGGAAGTTTTTTGGAGCTTCTCATTTCTTGACTAATTTTTCAGTTGAGGTTGTCATCAATTAATAAATGCATAAGTAAACAATGACTTGCCTCTGTATAATCTTAGAGCTTTTAGATAAGGTTGTCATTTGTATTGTACAAGCTCAAATTTTAGTATGAGATTGTAATTTAACATTGTATAAAACAAGCAAAGGCCTCTGACACAGCAATTTAACCTGCACATGAGAAGATAAGATTTCAACTTATACAGTTGATTTATTTTTTAAGGATTATTTAGCTAATTGGAGGGTTTGCAGCTTCAGTTAATGCCAAAATTCAGCTGATGAAACTTTGTTGTTGACATAACCAAGCACTTGAGAATATTTCTATGGAAGAAAAAGTTTAATATGCATATGCTTTTTCCATATGCATGAGTACTTAATTTGAAATTTTTTTTAAATTTTGGTACTCTGACCTAATAGAAGTTATTTGTGTAGGAAGGAAGCACTGATCAGGCAAATCAAGATAGTTGTAACCATGAGAAAGAAGCGGTGCCAGTGTCAGCAAGTGCTTGTAAGTGTCTGATGGTATTGGTTTGAAATTCTCTCCCACCTGGCGGGCCTATGTTGTTCTTACCTCTGACTTTTGTCCTTATTCCGGCAGCTGCCCCTCAGAATCTGAACAAAGGTTGTGATGACACATTTAGCAAAGATGATGATATTCCACCTGTCACAGATGAGACAGATAACCTTTCTGATATTGATGATGTAGAGGTGAGTAAATCAGTCAGAAAGGTGTGCGCATAACCCAATGGCTATGCCTATGGTTTTCCTTAAGGGAATAGTTTATTCTAGTTCAAGCGTGATACAGTATTGGCCTGACCTTGGCACCGTTGCATAGTTCAAATATACCTCATTCATTTCTTGCGCACTCTTTTTGTTTCATTATTATTTCTTTAATGATGCTCTCTGTTGTTCTTCCATGGGCATATTTTTTGTGTAAATTTAGGTATGACTCAGATGGCTGAATTCGCTCATTTATTGAGGGGGACAAATTACTGATAATGTAATAATCAAAGTTTTTGTTTCACACACTCATGATTTTGTATTGCAGGTCAATTCCTACCTTAATAGTAAGGAAGAAAGCCACTATAAGAAGATTATCTGGGAACAAATGAATAAGGAATACGTTAAGGTGAATGAGATTTTCTGACGTTGGTAACTTTTGTCCATGATTTGCTGAAGCAGTTAGAGAACAAGCTGTGAAATTATTGATGAGAAAAGAGTGTTAACTGCTAAATGTTTTCAGGAACAAGCAGCTAAGGAAGCGGCTGCTGCTTTACGAGATTGTGGTGAAGTTACAGATGATGTCCTTGCAGCACGGAAACTTGCAGCTGCAGCTGCTGCTGCTGTGGCAAAATCAAGAGATGTAAGTTGCTATGTACATAGTTGGTATTTTCGAAACATTATCCTGGACATATTTATCCCAATCAATTGGAACTTCTCTGGAGATAGAATGTCTGTGAAGCTTCTGTCTTGATTTTTTTTTCTCTCTCTAACTGCACCAAACCCCCCCCCCCCGGGGGGGAACCATGAGAGGGAGGATATAGTTCCAGGTTTTGACAGCAATGGATTACAAGCTATGAAGTGGTGGAAAATGTGCTATAGATCCTATCAAAGTAGAGTTTGTTTAAGAAGCATACATATCATATATGGAGATATCCATTTTCAAGTGGACTTGAGTTTATGTTACCTTTCATCAACAAATGTGTTCTTCTCTTGGAGAAGAAACAAACTCGATCTTATTTTGGTACTAGGATATCCTTGACTCTGACATATGTTGCACTGTAACTGGCTATTTGTCAATTTCTCAATTACCTTAAAATGTTTAGCAAATATTTTCAAATGAATGACAATTGAAAGTGATTAATTAAGGTATTTGCATTATAATATTTGTGGTGGTTCTTGATTGGTGAACTTACTACTGCTGCACCTTATGGACTCCCAGCAACAAAAACTGAAGAGAGCTGAATCTAAAAATGCTGGCCCAGCTCCAACTGCTGCTGAAGCAACCCGTCAGATGCTGATGAAAAAGGTATGCCACACAAGAGACCTAATGGGATTAGTTTATGAAAAAGATTATATAGCAGCAGACTCTTCTTGTTCTTTTCTTATCCAAAAACTGTGAAATAGGATTAAGTTCTACTCATATTTTTTTCTTTATCACACTTCTTCAAGTTTTTCGGTTTTCTATGTTTTGCAGGGGTTAAGTTCGAAAATTAATTATGACGTTCTGGAGAAACTATTTGATGAGAGTGTATGTCAATCTTTATGACTTAATTCCTTTTACTAGCTTTCTTCTGGAATATATCCTGTTGATTGATAGTCCTTATCATTTCAGTTAATTTTAGCCATCAAGACTAGCTTTTCACTTCTGCTATATTTGGACAAGATGCAAGTTACATTGTGGCAGGAAATGATACTTCATTCAACAAAATTGATTTCACATGCCAGAACTATAAGTGGTGGCCATCTGTTTTTGATTAACATGAAAGCGATAATGCTTAACGAAGTTTTTGATCCATAACAACTAGTCTAAGATAAAAGAAATGGTTATTTTCCTGAACATTTAAGAGGCTTTAACTTACCTATATGCATAATATTTGTGTATAATGTATAATGAGAGCACAAAGTTACCTGAATCAGAAGAAAATCATTTGTGGGGAAGAAAGAAGTCTGATATTCTATTTTCTCCTCTTTTAGAAATTCAAAGTTGGTTTTCTTCACCAAACATTGTTGCTTAGTAGCAAAATGTCAAGTTTCTGATAGGATCATCTTAAAGTTTAGTGCAGAACATGGGGAAAGAATGGAGATAAGGCTGTTTGGATTGAAGTTGGACAGCTTAGCAGATGTAGGATAACTTAAATGTAATGTGGTTTTTGACATCTAATCGGTGCTCCTTTGTTTGAAATAATGAAAGATCCATTGTGTTAAGCTCTGTACTTTTTTTCACCTGATTAAGCTTTTTCTGTTAGAAAAGGTTTGGGCTCTGTAGAGTGGATAGTCCATTTTCGCTTCCCAGATTTTGAAGACTAGTTATAAATCTCGCTTTCATGCTTTCTCCGTTCCTGAATGTGTGTTCTTTAATGCGCTTTAATTACATCCTCTAGCAACTGTGGTATTTTTAGTCCATGAAAGATTGCGCTACTCCGACAATAATTATAATTCAAAAACATAATAACATTTCTTGAGTTCAATCTTGTAGATCAGTATTGAGTCAAGTTTTAGGAAACGGGTTCACTTTGAATTCAACCTATGCCGAGTCTAGTTGAGCTACGTCGAACAATCTCAAAACGAACCAACTGCAGTCGCAGGGCTGGATAATCTTTTTTCTGATTAGGTATTAGATTCAGTTCTTCTCCTGTTCTATTTGGTTTGGAAGGTTTGATATATCAGCTTTGGTAAGGAGAATGTAGTTTACTTCATTACTGATTTCGTTCAAAATGTGTTTCTTTTGCCAGCCTTCGGTCCAATTATGGCAAGTGTTTCTTTGCTTGATCTTATATTTTTAAGTTTGTATTTAGTTCTCTTAGTGACTTGTACAAGAGTTTATGTCTGTGCAGTCGCCTCCAAGCACCAAAAAGCCTCGTATGGAACCTCCCCGCAATGACCACAATGCCTCTGGAAAATATGCAAACAAGAAGGATAATGAAGCAGAATGAACAATGTTAATAAGCAGGAGCTGAACGAGGATTATATGGAAGATGATATTACCATAGAAGTAGATGAAGAGCAGGATCAAAATGAGGAAGAAATGTTCTATGGTGATGAAGATGATAATGATAATTTTGATGAAGATTGATTTTTTTTTTTTATAGCATCTTCATAGTTTTAAAGGAAAAGAACGTGATTCTTGTAAAATTTTCAATGCATTCTTAAATATCCTCTCTTTCAAAACGAGTTCTCTCTTCCTTCTCCCTAGAAAAACTCTCTAATCAAAAATTTCTTCAACTTTTCTACGGGAGAGAGATCGGATTTAGTTGATCTTTCCCACACGAAAGGAGCATATCTTTAGTTTCTTTTCATTTGTATAATTAAGTTTTTTTTAAGATTTTTCTAATGAAAATTTCTTCTCTTTTAAGGTTGTCTAATGAGAGTTTTCTTCTCTCATAAGCATTCTTATTGAGAGTTGTAAGTAGTTTTTTCAATTTTCTTTTACTAGATCTAGGTTTCTTCAAATTTTAATTGTCAAATATAGAATTTCTTAGATCTATTTGATAGATCTCATCGTAATATTTTTGGACTTCAAGCAATTAATCAGTAGATTTGGAGATTGGAAGCATGTACAAATATTCTTGGATTATAATTATTTTATCTTTTTTCAAAATATTTTTTGAAACTATACAATGTAATTTTTATTTGATCTTCAAATTTGCGGTATCCATTTTTTAATTCTTTTTTTTTAAATAATTTTAATTTTTTTTCTTTGATTGAGCATATGTTTGATGATATAACTTTTGTTATTAGTACAGATTTTAATAAAATGAGTATGATGTTTGAAAAAAAAAAGAATCATTAGTGATTCTCCAGTGGCGACACAAGCTTCGTCTCCATAGGCATTTTGATCCGACTGTTGAAGTTATATGAACCGGACATCCAACCGTGTGTGTCATATAGAAAAGAAATGTCAAAATCAGATTTCCATTTCTTGTCCTACATTATTCTTAATAATTTCTTCCAAAAATTCTATATCGCGTGTTTCATCATTAATGAGTCTTTTACTACAGACAAAATATTTGTCTTGACCCATAAATTTTCCTAAATCCACTGGCATTATCATGTTGTTAATCATAGAAAAACATTAAATGTGTTTGGATAGAAGATTATTTGAAATAATTACTGTGCTATTTTTCTATAATGTGATGTATATAAAATAAAAAAATCAATTGGATATATGGGTAAGGTAATGCTGTCTGAGCTGTTAATTAGAAACCAAATTCTACACCACAAATTAATTGAAGAAATGGTAATCTTCCACGAAACAGCACAAAAACATTGACGCAGAAGAAAGAAACTTGCTAAAAGTTGAAAATTCAACCGGACAGGAAAATTAGGGGAAAAAAAAAAACCAGACAAACAGAAACAACCAATTCCTGCCAAATAAAAAACACAGACATAAAAACAAAACAAGTTGTTGAGGGTAAACCCAAAGGCCCACCTAAGTCATTGAGGGTCCCCAACCAACTCCAAATTCAACGCTAATCAACACACGTATCCGTGCGAACCGTACATTCCAACCAAACTTAAACCAAGCAATATGGTCATTAGATCAAAGTTAATTTGGAAGAGACTGCATGAGCTTGGGACGTATATTATGGTTTGCGTAGATGCATGTACGGATGTACACTTATATTCATTAAGGCGCATTCTCCAAATCATTAAAGTGCCTAAGCATTGTTATGGAGGTGATTTAATTATTTAATACTAAATTAATAGCTATTTGATTCTAGAATAGTAATCGCATCCCATTCACAAAAATTTCCAGAGCTTATGCTTTTCTTATAAAATGTTGAATTTTTTTCCTATTCTCGTTTTAGAAAATTTGCCAAACAACCAAATATTTGAGCAAATATTTGAGCAAATAAAACTATGCAAATTTAAAAGATCTTAATTTGTTTAAAACTGCATGAACTAGGATACTTTTGGATTCTCTCATAGTCTCATGTGTTGGATATTTTAAAAAGACATTTTAAAAATAAATTTACATAGATAAGTGTCATCTAGCCACAAAATGTTATACAAGGAAATAAATTACCCAAAACCACTCAGAGAAATTAGTCTTTATCGTTCATCTTTACGATAGATTTCATGAATAGCTTAATATATTAATCTAACATGAGAGGGTTCAGGTATTAATTTTTCTAGAAAAGTTTCAAAATATTGGGGCGTAATAATTGTGATAATGTGTAATCATATGATAAACTAAATGTAATTTAGATATATTAACAAGTCAAACAACCAAAAGTTAAACAAATTAAATTAAAATTAATTTATATATACTGATATACACTAATAATATATACATTATCACGATATTACGGTTGTATGTAAAATTTGGATTTCAATTTCAAATTCAAATTATATGTCATGCATCCAATGTAGAGGTAATATTGAGTTCGAGTAGCACCATGCTCGAACTCGAACTCGATTATTATTAATGCTCGAATTCGAACGAGTATATAAATTCGAGTTCAAACTGGACTCGACGTAATGGAAATTGAGCTTGAACTTGACTTGTTTGAGCTCAAGTAAACTATAAGCCTTATCAACCTCGAGCTACTCTAGCTCGAATTCGAGTTTTTTTTTCTTGTTTTTAATTTTTTATATTTTAGATTTATCAGATTATCATTTTGCCATCTATCACTTCTTTTTATTGAACATTATTTCATGTAAATTTATTAAAATATGAATCCATAATAACCATTCCATAAATTCAAATATATAATATATAAATAATATAAATACTCGATTAAACTTCTCCAATATTCGAGTAGTTACTACTGACGCTCAAACTTAACTCGTTACATCGAACAAGAAGTACAAGAAGTTCGAACTCGAGTTCTATTAAATTAAATTTAAACCAAACTTTTGACCAACTCGCGAAACAAGCTTTTGACCAACTCGCGAGTGGTTTGGCTTGCTCACACCCCCAAATCCAATACATAGAAGATTAATGCATTAAATTATATACAAAATGAAAAACAAAATCTGAGTAGTTATTTGCGTGCCTCAATCCTCCGATAGTGACAGTGACCTCGCATTCTATTGCTGCCCTCAATCTTTTCCTAATATTCCCTTTTAATTTTGTCTGTCTCGTCTTTTATTGACTTTCGCAAAAAGTAGGCCCTACGCTTGGTTTTCCCCCTCCTATCACCGCCCACCACACTCCATCCCCACAAGCGTAGGGCCAATCAGCATCATTAAAGTGGGGCCCACAAGGCTTGCTTACGCGCACCCGCATGCTGTAAAATGGTACATTTCGTATATTTGTACGTATAAGCAAAGCCATTGAACCCTTTGTATCATTTTATTGACTCTTTCCGCAGTACTGATTAACGTTTTCAAAAGCTCCCTAAATTTTCAATATTTGTGTCATAGTTGGACACAAACTCCATATGGGATTTAAATATTGCTCTCTCTTTCTCTCTAAATAAAATGATAATCATTATTTTATGGCGAGAGAAAGAGAGATAGATTTTGAGGAAAGATTATTTGTTTTTTGTTTGGGTTCTGTTTCTTTTTTCTTTTTTTTTTTGAAAATCTTTCAAGAATAACAGGTTTTCGTTTTTAAATTATCTAATATGATTCGTGATTATCCTGAAGTAATGATTGGTTTCTTGGCGTTTGGTGGTGGATATAATGATGGGTGTTTCTTTGCTTTCAAGCTAATTGGGTATTCCCTTTTATTTTTCATCAATTAATTTTTTTTTTTGTTTTTTTGTGTAATATTTTATTAATTTATTTGGTTTTTGGGGTTGATTGTGCCTCTTTTGGCTTTTCCAGGCTTTGAAGGAAGGTGGAGAGTTTGACTTTGAAGAGAAAGAGAAAGGGAGGGTCGGTTTTGGTGGAGATTTTGACTCGAATGCAATTGGGGTTGATCAGGTCAGGTTTTCCTATTGATGGTTCTGATGTAGAATGATGGGCTGGAGATTAGAATTTTAGATCTTTCAGCAAATTGATTCAGAATTTTGCTGGGCTTCTTTTACTTTACAGTATACAATTTATTTGTTCACTGATTTTATTTTGATGGGAGTGAGGGAATTGGTACTTTTATGGGACTCTGTAAATCTAGAGGAACTTTTTGGCAAGAAAATCTTGATTTGAAGCTTCCTTCTTCTCAGCTGAAGAAGGGGGAAGAGAAGAAGACTGGATTGGCGTTTGGATATCAGGTGTTTTAGTGATTGTTAGCTAAAATGGAGGAAGAGGCTAATTCTTGGATTAGGAGGACAAAGTTTTCTAACACAGTTTGTCATAGATTAGATTCATCAAGACTGGCCTCTATTCCGTTGACTATTAATCAGAGGGGGAGAATCCCAGTTGCAAAATCTAGGCTTGCTGTTACACCTTCTGCTGCTTATGTTAATCCTAAACAAGACCCTATTGTTAGTCCGTTACAAAGAAATCCCACGACAAACAAGCAGAGGGCTGTTTCCCCATCCCCACAAACCAAGCTTTTGGATACGTTTAAGGAGGCAAAGCAGGCAAGGTCTGTTAAGAGGAGACACTCAACTCCAAATTCAAGAAAATCTGAGAAAGGACTTGTTGGAAAGCTGTTTCATCATAAAGATTCTCATAAAGATTCCCATGAGCAGAAGCCAAATGGTTCTAAGTCTCCATTGAATAATAGTCGTCTGAGGCACTTCTCAGCTATGAAATTTCACGAGAAATCCAAGGGCAAGAAGGATTCAGCCTGGACTAAGTATTTTGATCACGGTGGAGGAAGGGTGACCTCAGTGGAAGCAGCTGATGAGCATATGGTTGATCTTTCTAAGCTGTTTCTTGGCCTAAGATTTGCTCATGGTGCACATAGCCAGCTTTACCATGGCATTTACAAGGATGAACCTGTTGCTGTGAAAATTATTCGACTTCCTGATGATGACGAAAATGGAGACTTAGCTGCTCGGTTGGAGAAGCAATTCAACAGAGAGGTTACTCTGTTGTCCCGTCTCCACCACCCAAATGTTATAAAGGTAGTGTGGAATTCTCGTTTGCCAGTTTGATTTTTTCGTCAGTCGTGACTGATTATTTGAGTGATAAGTTCTTATAGTTGATTCAACGTGATGAAATATTAATTAAAAAGTTGGTATATATTGATAAGCATGTTTCGTGAGAACTGATCTTATTGTTTTGACATCAAGGTATGTTTTTGGTTTTCATTTGGTTCAAAATTTCCTTGTGCTGCAGTTTGTAGCAGCCTGCAGAATGCCACCTGTATTTTGTGTTATCACAGAATACTTAGCTGAGGGTTCTTTGAGATCATACCTTCACAAACTTGAGCAGAAGCCTATGGAGGAGAAATTTCTTCCCTTAACAAAGCTAATCACTGTGGCTTTGGATATTGCTCGTGGAATGGAGTATATTCACTCACAAGGTGTTATACATAGGGATCTCAAACCAGAGAATATTCTTATAAATGAAGATTTCCACCTAAAAGTTGCTGATTTTGGAATAGCTTGTGAAGAGGCATACTGTGATCTTCTTGCTGATGATCCAGGTACATACCGGTGGATGGCGCCTGAAATGATCAAGCGCAAGTCCTACGGCAGGAAAGTTGATGTGTATGGCTTTGGACTCATTTTATGGGAAATGGTTGCTGGGACTATTCCCTATGAAGATATGACTCCAATTCAAGCTGCTTTTGCTGTAGTAAACAAGGTATGCTGCTAGGTTACTTTATTTCTTGACTTATATGATCTATTGTTGTACAGATTTTAAATTTTCATGATAGCTTATATGCGTATTTATATATGCTTTTCTTTTCCCATTTTTAATCTCCGTGCTCCTGAACGTGCCCTTATCTTTTATTTTGAGTTGATTTTAAAGTAGATGAATGTTATGGAAGAAGTTGTTACAGATGCGGATAGTTTTCTCCCATCTGGTTTGAATTTTGCTTTGTGAATAAAAAGAATGAAGCTTGTCAATCTAATTCAGATGATGAAAGAAAATAGGTTTGAGAGATCCCAACCAATAAGCATGTTAAATCTGACAAGTGAATGGAAAGTCCAGTGTGTCGAAGCTCAGATCTTGCTCTCTGAATTTGACATGCTTGAAGTTGTGTTATTATCACCATCGCTATAACAAGTAGTATTGCCAACATTACTTGGTTACATTGGTATCTTCGTTTTGCTCTATATAAATAGCACAATCTTATGCAGAATAGCTTGTTCTCTTGACATATTAAAGGTCATGCTATTGAATGCAAATATCATGCTGGCATAGCCTAATTGCCTTCAAGTGAATAATGAAGTCCTGTTATTGGTCTTCCTATGTCACCAGAATTTTGGAGATGACTTTTCTCTATGGTATTTTGATGTTGTAAAAACAACATTCACCCTTTGTTTTCTATATCGGGTTCTGGTGTGAAACAAAAACTGAAATTTGAATGCTGCAGTACTTTGTTGGTTTGACATAGAAATGTTCCTCTGCTTCTTTGCTCTCTAGATCCTTAGAAGATTTTAACATGTGGAAATCTTGTATGTCTTTTATTTCATGTAATTGTATTAATGAGCTCTCTCTGGGATTTTCTAGAATCTACGGCCTCCTGTCCCAGAGCGTTGTCCTCCAGCAATGAGAGCTTTAATAGAGCAATGTTGGTCTTTGCAGCCAGACAAGAGGCCTGAATTCTGGCAGATTGTGAAGGTATTAGAGCAGTTTGAGAGTTCTCTTGCTTCTGATGGAACCCTGAATCTGGTTAACAATCCAATCTGTCAGGATCATAAGAAGGGGCTTCTCCATTGGATCCAAAAGCTTGGTCCACATTCAGATACATCATCAATGCCTAAACCTAGATTTCAATGAATTTTGGATGATTTGTAGCTTCACTTAGATCCCATTGTAATTATAAGGTTTTTTTCTCAATTCTCTTTGCGGTTTTCATCCCTTTATCTCTGAGCCCAATGTGAATGTTAGACTGTAGGCAGTCATTCAAATGAATTATCGTTTGTACTATCACATTATGGATACAAAGGCCATGGTTATCAAATTCTGAGCACAATAGTTGTATTTCATGATTACGAAGGAATGTGAAAAATTTTGGATTTTCTGTATAGGGAACTCCAAAGTCCAACCTCCCTCAGGCCTGTCTTTATTCACTTTTTCTGTTATTTGTTTACTTATCTAAAGGTGGTTATTTTGGTTTCTCAGCTCCATTTTTTTGTTTGGGGGGTTCTGGCAGTCCCTAAGTGAAGTTGGCGTTAAATGTATCTACATCTTCTTCCTTTTACAGTTATTTGATTATTCTGGAAATTAGACTGACAAAATATGAATTTTTCTGATCATCTTAAAGTTTTGAGTTGTGAAAGAAGTACTTTCATGTCGAAGTAGGCGTCTGGGTAGGCGAGCATAAACAGACATTTTACTTGATGCCTGTGAAGATCAACCTAATTCCTTCTTCCAGCTGTTACACTTTCACTGGATTACCACAGCATACAACACCTGGTGCATTTGAAGGAGAGTGACTTGAATGTTATTGAAGCATGATAAATATTGCTTTCATCTTATTTCGTTGCTTAAGAAAGAGATCTTGCTGAATTTTGTTCCTTAGCAGCGGTCTGCAACTGTCATTTGTTGCACCGATCACAAGCATCTTATGGATATGTAGATATATCCTCCTTTGACTTTGCATTCTGTGTCAACATGGTAAAATGATGCATGATTAATTATGCTTGCGGAAAGAAACTACTCGTTAATGGATTTTTGTGTCCACTTTGTTGTGAATGAAAAGTTTGGTAGCGATTGTTCTGCCTTTGGTTACATGATTGCTAGCGCCACTCAAACTTTTAGGCCCTGTTGTCCTTTTCCCTCTACCCATCCTTTTTATTCCTCAATTTCTATGTCTTAGCCTGTTGCAGTCTCGCGGACTGTGCTCGTAGCATGTTTTCCTTCTCTGGTTGATGGTCTTGAGTTTTGTTACACGAGTTAACGTTCTTTTGGGAGCAATTGCACCGGCTAGAGCTTTGGATTCATATGCATGGATGGTCAATTTCTAGTGCTTTGGAAATGCAGGTGGAGCCTATGACATGGTGCTAAAGGTGATGGTTACATGCACCTCGCAGGACCAGAAAGAAGACCTCGTTGCATTGCAATCCTCTTTTACATTTATTCAATTGCATGATTGCATCCAAGTTGCACTACTGGCTTTGGCTTTTCTTTGTGACTCGTATTAAATTTTTGGCTTGAACTGTAGGGGTCTTGCAACACACTAGTTTTTGCATCACGGACAACAGGAAATGGAAGCAAATATCACCTCATCCGTTGCCTCCTAAGAATGTGAACCTGGTGCATTTAGGACCACAATGGATATTAATAGGCACTGGAATTCAAGTTGGGAGTTTTTTTCTGTAATTTGTAAAGATATTTTTAGCTCTCTCATTCCTGGCCACTTCTCTCGTTTGGAGAGAGAATTTGTTAAAGAGAGTGGAAGGAGCACCAAATTTTTGTTTTCCTTTCACCTTCTTCTTCCCTAAACTTTTGACTCCCAAAACAGAGAAATGGAAACAGATGCCTTTTTCTTGTTTCCTTTTGTTTTCTTGCAAAATCACTAGTTTGCAAATAAATCCATCTTACGACAGCTGAGAAGTGCACTTTTCTTGACTTCGACTTGCAAACGTTGTGCAGGCAGGGCACATAATCTTGATTCCTGTCATCGGATGCTCGTGGAAAACTTTAAAACAAATAGTTTAGCCGAACGTGTATAGGAAGTCCGTGATGGAAACCGGTTGGACTGGATTGTATCATGAAATTCCTTCTACTTAACGTAACGAGACCTTGCATGCTACCCGTGATTGTTGGAGGGGAGGGGGTGGTATACATTTGTATTAAATTTGCGACTATGTGTAACGACTATGTGTATTAAATTTGCGAGTGTAGAGAATTTTTTTTCTAAAATTTTGATTTCTATAGTTCCCACGTCAACATGTTTACTCGAACGCCAATTGTATTAAAGGATACTATTCGTTTCGACCCCTCAACTATTCCATTTGCACTCTTTTGGCCTCTTCATAATATAATATTGCAAACAAATTCCTCAACTAAAAAGTTGTCCCATTTAAGGACTTCTGTCAAATTTAACTGTCAATGTCAACAGAACAAGGGGGGGTAAACTATTTTCATCGTCAAGTTTTTGCCCCTAATCTAAATTTTATCTAGAATAGTCCCCAAACAATTAAAAGAGTATACTTTCAACCTTTCTACGCCATTTAGTGATAAGTGTGTAATCGGAACCAAAGAATAATTTTGTCTAATAACTTAATATAGTAACCATTGGGACCAGAATTAGAAGGGTTAAGACGAAAAATACACTTTATTATTCAGTATTACAAAAGACGAAATCTAATGATGGTAAAGCAAAATGTATTTTTCTTCCTAACCTTTTTTTATTCTAGTTTCGATGGTTATATTAAATGGATGGACACAAATTTCCTGTGGTTCTGACTGTCACTTATGATTAAAATGGGCAGAAAACCTGAAAGTATACACTTTCTAATCGTTCAAGGGATGCACTGAGATAAAATTTAAATTAGAGACCAAAACTTGATAATAGAAATAGTTTAATGACTCCCTAGACAATTTACTATTAAGAAATTAGGGCATATCTCTGACAATTTGTTTTTGAAGGGTCAAAAGACGACAGTGGAAATAGTTTAGGGACCGGGTCACTGTATCTCTTTGTTTGTTATTCGGTCGGTCACTCTCAAGAATTCATCAAACTTAGGCAGTTTCGTCAAAAAGGAAAAAGCTACCATACTTTAATTTCTTAACCCTTGAGAAGGTTGTCTACGATTGTGTTAAGTGCGAAATTTATCATCTATCTTCACAAACCGTCGATGCTACAGCCACTTGGTAAGGTTCACTGGTTCAGGCCCCCCACGAGAAAAATCTTGGGACTCGGAAAAAGTATCTGTGCACAAAAAATCTTCACTTAATGTGAAGATATCTGTCAAAATCGCGGGATGTAACGATCACCACAAGAAACACACCAAACGTTTCGTAACCTCTATTGGTCTAAATTCTGTATTTTAGTGCCCCGCGATCAAAATAAGAAATTTTTTTAAATAACAAAGTACTCTCACATAATACATCTGAAAAGTTATTTAAAATTGTTTTTTCCTTTTCTTTTTTGACTTTTGTTTTTCAGTTTTTTTTATCTGCTTTTTCTTTTGCGTAAATAGGAAGGTTTAAACCGACACCTTTCACTTATACTTCCTCTCTGCGAACCGCCTAACCCATTCCACCCCCTTGTAGTTCTGTGGGTGGATTTCTTTTTATTTGACATATTAAACTAACAGAATGAGTTTGAGAATCAATATATCAAACCACTCAACCAAAAAAAAAAAAAAATTATATCTCGTTGCAAAAAGGCCATTTCTGGTTTGCCTATGGGCTCTTGAGAGACTTAATTGATTTGAAAACCTACTTGTAAGGTATTAAAATTTGAAAGAAAAAATTAATCTCCAGCTCTTTGCTGCTGTAACCATCAGCACATACAAGCTGGTCGAATATAATATCACACAATTAGCAATAAATTTGTAAAAGATGCATGTGAATTGATTTTATACAAACAGTCTTCTTTGACGTCAGATTTAAGATTCGAATCCTACTCCTGACAGTTGGAAGTATGAAAAAAATATAGGAAGGGGTGAAACAGTTAGAAAAAATATGGGGTCAAGATTCAAAACATCATTTGTATGGGATGGAATCCTTCTGGAACCGAACTAAACTCCGACTTGAGCGCGCCTAAGCTGTTATAGTTGTCAGGTTTCTTGTTTCAGTTGTAATATTGCAAATTTAGTAATACCAATTTTGCAGAAAGGCTTGTTCTACAACTCATTAATTAGGAGGGGTCAAAAATCTGTTCTTCAATTTTAGGGCTGTAGTATTGATTAACCACTAACTAACTTAAATAGGTAGTAAGAAAAAATTTAAATGCATTAACCTTGTAATAACTAGCAACAATTAAATAGCTCAATTAAGGATTTCCATTTCCAACTAGGGAGGCTTAAGCTAGATCAAAATTTATAGTGTATAACCGAAACATTAAAAAAAAAAAAAATTTGGGAAAGAAAAACGGCATAATTATTGATAATACACATATGGGGGCTTTCTTCTCTTTTCTTTCAAAAATCCAAAAAAAAAAAAAAGAAAGAAAAGCACAGCCCACAAATATGAAAATAACAATATAGTGAAACTACATTCGATTCGTTAGCCCATACTCCTCAACGTCCCAAACTGCCAAAAGCGTCAAGTAACCAGGAATAGATGGACGAACATTAGCCCATTTGTCATGCTAGGTCTACATGCCCAGCCGAAGATAGATAGATAGATGCTAGGTTGGCAATGACGATTTAATTGCCATTGCCCCATGGCTGGGCCTAACCAGGGCGACCCACGAAAAAGCTCAAGACCTGAATAGGCTTCAATAGAGGGCAGGTGTAATCTTGCTAAGATCCACCTCAACTGGTAAGAATATTTACCCGGTACTTATATTGATGGGAATTTATTCCTTTAGCTTTTTCTCACTCATGCCCATTTCGTCCTTCAACATTGCTTTAGTGTCCATTTGAGGTTCGGTGTTTTTGGTAAAAAAATATGCTTGATTGCTAAAAGTACTTTTTAGGCATTTGATGAATATCATTCCATAAAATTATGAGTGAAACTTTTGAGGTTATAAGATCAAATTTGATACCTTTAGAATAGCTTTTTGTGTTTTTTTAAAAATAAAATATTAAGTTTAATCATTTTTATCCTATATTATGAACTAAAAATAAATAAATTTAAATTTTTTTGAATTACACGTTATCCAAGACAATAAGAATAAGTATTTATAGAATTGTATATCCAAATAATATATTTAAAAGCGCTTGAGCATTTAATAAGTGATTTTATTAAAAGCTCGATTAGGTATAATACTTTTCAATAAACTATTTCAAAGTATATTGTTTGGATAAAAGCACTTATCAAGTGCGGCCCTTAGTCTAATTTAGCCTTTGAACTTAAATTTTCTTATCTAATTAAATCCTTTTATGGCAGCACCAATTATTATAATCTTTCTAGCAAAATCACCAACCC